TAATTTAGGAAATATCAGAATTTTAATTGCAAGAATGTGTCGTAATTCCAGCTGCGGTTTATCATATGCATTCGAATGGAAAAGCAGCAGCATGAACATTCTGCTAAATATCTCCTTTCGTGTTTTACGGAATAAAGGAAGTCATATGGGTTTGGACATCATGAGAGTGAGTAAATAACGACAAATCTTCATTTTTGTGTGATCTATCCCTTCAACAATGACAGGATGGCTTTCCTGTCTCCTTAAAGGGATAGTTCACCCAAAAATGAAAATTTGATGTTTATCTGCTTACCCCCAAGGCATCCACGTACACACCTCACGCACCGGATGCCTGCGCGCGCCCAAAGACAGTTGGACATAGTGGTGTATTAGAGGTCAAATATGATATAAATACTGTTCAGTTTCTGGCACAAACCGATCGTTTCGTGTCTTAGGACATCAATGTGTCGTCACGAGCCGCAGGGTTTAATTTGGATTTGTCTGTGCATGTTTTTTTTACTCTCATAGATTTTGTTACCATTGCCATGCATTATACGACTGATAGACTGCAACGGTTGGAGTTAAAAATCATCAAATGTGTTCTACTGAAGAAACAAAGTCACCTACATCTTGGATGCCCTGGGGGTAAGCAGATAAACATCACATTTTCATTTTTGGGTGAACTATCCCTTTAAACAACTATTTGTCAAGATGTGTTGAGTGGACAATGATCCAAACGGTCTGAATGTTGGTACAAAGATTGTGAACACTGTACATAACAGTCGTTTTTATAGTGTCACGTCTGACGTCTGAATATTTTTTGGTCCCACATTTTTTATCAGTTTTACTTGTAGTCCACTACATGAAGAATTTTTGGGTATAATATGTCAGAGTTCACTTTATTTTGCTATCCTCACTTACATAAATGAACTATAGTGTCCTGCACTCAGTAGTAAAAAAAAAAAAATCAAATTATATCTGGTTTCCGAAGAATTTTTTTGGTTTGACTGTACTTTCAAACAATTACAATACTGGACTTTTTGAAAGTTGGACCAGTATTCAGAGGGGAAATTTTCCCATGATGAAATTTCCTTTGTATAAATAACATATAAATGACAAAATAGATTTTATTTAGAGTTTATCCAGTGATCGATCGATTGCTTTTCCGGTCTGTATCTGTTACTTTCGGGACACACTGAGTGAACCTGCAAAGTTTCTGTATTTGCTATTTCCAAAGAACAAATTGCATCAAATTCATGATTCTCACACATTATCAATGCCTCGTGCTGTATTGCATATTCATTATACGACTGAGGCAGTACGTTGCCGGTTTAGCGAGAGCTAAAACTCAGGGTTCATTCACAGTAGAGTGTGACAGTTGGACGTTTCTTTCTGTTTGCTCTCGGCTGCTGTGTGCATGGGAATGTGTCTAGCGTATTTTTGTACTTATGATTGAACTTCCCAACAGCATCACTCAGTGTGCTTTTCTATGTGTCTTGCAGTCCTGACATCCAGAGAATCGTCTTGGAGGTAATAAAGCTGACGCACAGGGCTAAGGATTTATAATGACTTTCTGCATATATTCAACTCTGCTGTCTTAACTGTCGTCTATATATTCACTGTATATATGAATGATATATTTACTACTTTTTGGTACATTTCAAAACATGTATTTACTGTAAAATATTACCAGATTTTATCTCGAGAACTTTTACTATTGTCTATGTATTTAAGTACAATAAAGACTGTGCATTGTGTCTGTTTATATTAGCGATTCAGATTTTAAGTGAGCGCAAACACGGGGAATGTTCTCTAACACTTAAACTGGGCTAATAATAATATAAATGTCAGGGCTACAATGAGTATTGGTTTCACACACCCTGCCGCATACCAGGGTTAATAAGTAAAACTAAAATACCTCAAACTAATACAGAAATAAAAAAATGTATAAAAATATCAATAATAAAAATGGCAAAAACTAAATTACTAAAACATTTACAAAAAATGAAAACAATAAAAATAAACCTCTTTTAATTTTAATAAAAATTATAATAGTATCTCAAGTAGAGACCACTTAGTTTTTCTCATTACAACTTATGAGTAATAAATAAATAAAATAAATCATCAGATTTTCATACTCGAGCTGACCTAACCTCCACAAATAAGTTTTTATACTGTATACTATTTTAAAATATTATATTTATACTTATATAATTATGTCCAAGACAAATTTCAATGTCCCTAGGGACAAATAAAAGTACTAATTAATATTAACATGCATATTAACTTCTATATTATGTAAAACTTATTTAATATCTATAATTTTAATATATTACATTTATTGAAAAATTGTAAATAGATATGTTAATAGTTTTTTATCTCCAAAAATGTGCATAATATAATTGTCATATCTATCTTATTTATTAGATTTGTATTAGAACACATTATTTTATCAAGATGATAATTCAAGTGACAAAAACCTCAAACTGGCCTAACTTCCATAAGTAATTATTAAACAAATATACATTTGATCACATAAGGCTTGTGATCTTAAAAGTTTAAAGGAAACACTGAACTAAACCCTAAACCACATGATGCATCAAAATCCATAAAGACGTGTTTTTATAAAGGTACTGTCACAATTTCCAGTCATTGGTCCATTAAACAAACAAACAGATCTTTCTCACTTCACCACAAAGGCATTCAAATAACTCCTGTCATATTTTTCTGAAAGTCTTCTTTAAACATGACTGAGTGCTTTGATGCAGTGAAGAAACCCAGTGAATTAGACAGAAGTTGTTTGTGTGAGCTGCTTGGCTGTTGAGATATGATTAAAGGGGTCATATATTGCGATTTCAATTGTTCCTTTCTCTTTGGAGTGTTACAAGCTCTTGGTGCATAAAGAAGATCTGTAAAGTTGCAAAGACTAAAGTCTCAAATCCAAAGAGATATTCTTTATAAAAGAGTGGATTATGAGGATCAGATCAAGAGCCTGTCTGACACGAGTGAGATTAGACTCGCATCCTCCTCAGCACTCGCTGCTGTCTGTCTGTCTGTCTCTGCAGCTACAGATAAACACAACACAGCCGCGGCTCATGAGGCTCCATTAATGAGTGGCGTGTTTTAGTTCACTTCACTGAACTCGCGCGATAATCACAGCTAAAGGCCTTTTCAGAAGAGATTCGATCAAATCAAGTCTGTAATCCGTGATGAATGTCTTTATGTGGGCCAGAGCCATTAACAGCAGCTCTACTACACACACACGATAATGATTGTTCGTTATTCCTAATATCGTCCATACATTAAAAATGCCCATCGAGAATTGATTAATAGGCAGTTTAATTACTATTAAGAGGCAGGATTATACATGTTATGGAACTCAAAACCCAAAATGTAACTATAAACCACTTCAATCCTCTGAATTCAGTGAGATTTACATTATATGAAGTGCTGTTTGTTCGCCTTTTCAAAACCAAGCCTGGATTAAAGAAATTATGATCAACATTTCTTTTGCACAATCACAACTCAGCCTTCCATATTGTGTTGCTAAATGTATGTTTGTATTATGAAACATCAGGATTTATTTGATCTATTTGTATATATTATTTACATATAATACAATATAATATATAAAATGTAACTTAGATTTTTTTTTATTCTTATAATGTAATACAGTGTAATAATGTATACTGCAAAATTAGGATTTATTTTTAATATTTAATTTTATTAATATAATATAATATGTAACATTAAGATTTTCTTATTTTTATATTGTATTTGATATATTCTAATGCAATTCAATATAATATAATGTATACTGCAACATTAGGATTTATTTTTAATAATATAATATAATATAATATAATGAAAACATGAATATAGTATTTTTTTATAATTGTTAACAACTTGTTAACCATGCTATCCATTTCTTTTTTTATATATATTTTACAACCTTTAATATTTTGTTTCTAAAATCAAGTTTGTGCACTCAGACATTAAGATTTAATTTGTATATAATGTAATATAATATAATATATACAATATAATGTATACTGCAACATTAGGATTTATTTTTAATAATGTAATATAATGAAAACATGAATATAGTACTTTTTTAATTGTTAACTTGTTAACAATGCTATCCATTTCTTTCTTTTTAATATTTTAATATTTTACAACCTTTAATATTGTTTCTAAAATCAAGTTTGTGCACTCAAACATTAAGATTTAATTAGTATATAATGTAATATAATATATATATACACAATATAATGTATACTGCAACATTAGGATTTATTTTTAATAATATAAATTAATAATGAAAACATAAACATTTATTAATTAATATTTTAAATAGAATATATTTTTACCAAATGTATCTTTTTTTATTGTTAATAATTTAGTGTTGCACCACATCACACATTTCTTTAGCAAAATTGCACAGCTACCTTTGATATTTCGTTGCTAAAAGCATGTTTAATACTCAAACATTTTTAGATTTATTTTCTGTATTTTTAGATTTTCTATATTTCATATAATATAATGTAAGGTACAGAGAAACATTGCAATTTATTTGATATATATTTTCATATTATAATGCAATACAATACAATTACGTGTCATTACAATTTATTTGATATTTTATTTGATATATATTTTCATATTATAATGCAATATAATACAATTACGTGTCATATCATGAAATCACCAACATATTAAAAAAGTAAAAACATCCACTAAAACACATTTACTGTATATCTATGAAACCAAAACCGCCGATCAGAATGAAAGTTGAGTTATTACTATGATATATTAGAGCAGAGCTAACAGGCCGAGTGCGCTTCACATGATGTGTGAATGTGATTCAGACGGTTTACACAGCCACTGTAACTGGATTTGCATAACTGTACAAGTTCAAAAGTTCAGAGCGGCTGCTTGCGAGCAAAAACAACATTATTATTACATATGAAACTCGGAATGAGCGAAGCAGCTTCATCTAGAGGTCTGTGACTCATTTACACTCCCTTTCTTAGCACGTGTTGCATGGGATTTGAACCCACAACCTCTGGGTTTCAAGCGCAGTGCTTTACCAGGGGAACAAAAAGACTTGGTGGAGGGCCGGGGGCCCAAAGTCGTCCCTCCAGGGGCCGTGTCCGCCTCAAGCCGCTCAGGACGCTCCGGTGGGACGCTGAGGTCAGGCACTCATCCAAAAGCTGGTTAGCCGCTGTCACACGCACAGTGGAGTGGAGAACAGGCGCAATGTGCGTTAGTCAGTGGCTTACCTGCTTTCAGAAATCACAGGACAGCACTGGAAACCCGGATATCACTGTAAACATCTGTTAATGTAAATATAAGAGAGTTCTGATCAGTTTCCGCACCTCGACATGATGTGCATGGGCTAATGTCTTCTTGATCATTATTTATTAATGCATGCTAATTATATGCTAATTATATGAGGTACTACATGATATCATCTATTTCTCGACCATGTGGCCTTGGTGAAAGGCTTGAATGTGCTTTCAAATACAAAGAAAGCTTTTATAAATCATGTTTTGTTAATATAGGTCTCCATTTGTAATTTAGCACTGATGGTGAAATATGAATAATTCCATAAATCGCTATATTGGTCTCAAATACAAGGAAAACAAAGCAGGAATGTTAAAGGATAACATTATGAAAGCATGTCAGCTTATCACGTTCAAATAAATCGATTAATATTATTTTGACATCAATTGAAGCAAAAAGCCACACTTACTCACCTCAACTTCCCGATAAACCTGTTAATTACTGGGAGAAGAGCGAGTCCGACAGTCCTTGTGGTGTTAATAAAAGCGCACGAGGCTAGAGCTGTTTTCGTCAAAGGAAATAATCTCTGAAATAAAGTATTAAATTGAGGATAGTGCACTACAGCAGCGCAGAAGTTCAGCTCACTTGCGCTATCCCAACCCTGCCCACTCCCCTGCAACTGCAACCTGGCCTGCTTATGCAAATCAGCGCTTGATTGACGTGGCAGTCAGCCAATAGCTAGCCGAGCTTCTCGCTGAAAGCCCGCCTATTAAATGGAACTATCGAATTACAGCGTCGGAGGGGCTTGCCTCTGAGCATCGACCGTTTGGTGGATTTTCCCAGAGTTAAAGCGGGGTGCGGCGCGTTCGGTTTTGCACGTCGTACTTTAGGAATGAACCATTTTCGGCGCACTTATTTCCCGCTTTTCTGACGTGTTTCTAGACATTTACGCGTCCTACTTTGCGCTTTGATTTTTGAAAGTGGAATCTGGTGTAAAATTGCTCTGTTGATACAACTGTGCGTTAGTTTTTACGTGTTTTAGAAAAAAAGAGCTCCCCCCGCGTCCCGAAGGTGGTTGGACTCTGTATAGTAAAGCCATGAAGCTAGTGTGGATGTGCACGTACGAGGGAT